ATAGTAACATTTACTTGTAGACACATTTTTTATGTAATTTAGAATGGCAAACAAGCTGACGTCCCACCTGATGGAAAGTAATAACCGTCGCCTATAGATATGAGCAGTACCATGAAATAACAGAGTATACTGTTTCGCCCATGATACCTCCCATACGTTGCCATTCCTGAGGACTCAGGTGTTATTCCTCTGTACCCAGTAAATTTATGATACCTACACATGATACTGTGGTCTACATAGTATGTGGTATTTTCAATCTAATGTAATCACGTAGTCGCAGTTTTTAACTGTATTTGTATTTCCACGATTAAAGAAGCAGTATTTCAACCAACTTGACCAAAAAAGGTTGCCAATTCGATTGTTCTTTTAATTTTTCTCCGTTACTTTAGAATTCCATCAGTTATTAATCGATTTGAAAAATTCTTTTTTTGTCTGTTACCCTAACAGATTGGTCCATAGAAATTTTATCAATAGCGGTTCAGTAGTTTAGTTTCAAAATTAAAACAACTGGCTTTGCCACAATTGAAGTCGGCATTTCGTGCAATCACAATCCTAATTTATTTGCAGTGTTAAATATGCAAAACTAAGTACATAACCCAACATTTATAAAAGATATATAAAATACAAAGATTTTATTCTTAAAAACACGTACATTTTGTAATTTATCAAAAAAACACATGTAAAATAATGTGTATATATGTATATACACACTCACTCTGTGTTTGGGTTCATTAATTTCTCGTTACATATCGTCATAGTCGTAGAATACTGACGGATCTTTATATGTAATATTTGTCACATCCGTCGGTATTCTACGACTATGACGATATATATGTTATATGCGGATAAAAAAAATTTAAAATAATATAGTAAAATAATTTTAATAAAGACAGTGAAACAAAATATAAATATTTATGTCTTTAATAATATTATAAAACACACATTTTGGTACAAAAGTAGACAAATAAAAATTTTCTTACATTAGAATACAAGATTAAATATAAGTCTGGCAATACAAAGTATAGATTAAAGATATGTGATATGATCCGTCGCAAAGTAGGGGTGGGTATTGCAATATCAATATATTCTAGTTACAATATCTATATATTGGTCCAATAACGAATATATTAAAAGTCGATATCCAAAAAACAATATTGGATAAGAGAGGATAAGACATTGGGATTCAACCGATATAGGCTATATCGACATGGACGATGACCTTTTCCCCACCATCAATGTCAGAGGAAACCAATATATAGATATCGGATCGGGATCCATACTACGCATGCTATCGCAAAGCAGCCTAATTTTGTTTTTAATAACACAACTTAAAATTGCGACTTACAAAATTAGAAACTAAACCGGTTGTTAAATTGACTATTAGCCCATTGCTAGTTATATGCGTAATGGGTGATAATAATATAATAATAATAATGAGATAATAACTGCCTGCGCTATCAGTTGAATATATGTAGTATCCAGGGGGAGCTGCCTGGAGGTCGATCTAATTGAGTACTCCTGTTATACGCCTTTTTTATGGGTGATAATGAAATATATAATAAAAAAATAGATAACTCCACCCGCGCTATCGGTATACACCGGCGGGGCACCGGTGAAGGATGATAGGTGAGGATGAAGCAGGTCAGTTAGCCCATCGTGACGAATTCAACAAGAATTGTTCACGATGGTTTCCAGGGGGAACCACGTGGAGGTCGACCTAATAGGGCATATTGCTAGCAATGGGGCTGTCAAACTCCATTGCTAAAAATCCTTTTCCCTCCTGTTATACGCCTTGTCATGTCGACGTAGTACCTAAAAATTGAGGTCGGGGAAAAAGGATTGTTAGTAATAGGTACCGAGGAGCTCCATCGCGGAGGGAGAAGGGGTTGTTAGTAATGGGGATTAGTAGCCCGATTGCTAGCAATACCCTGACAGGTCGACCTCCTGTGGTTTCCCCAGAAAACCATAGTGATTGATTTATTGTTAGATTTGCCACGGTGGGCTAACTGACCTGCTTTTCATCCTCACCTATCATCCCTCACTGGTGCCTCACCGGTGTATACCGATAGCGCAGGCGGGGTTACCATTCTATTATCCATCCATTAAAAAAAAGTAGCTCTATCGCTGGCAATCTACTTGATAAGATCGATCTCCACATGCCCCCCCGCCCCTCCTGGAAGCTATTATGGTTAATTTACAATTTGTCACGATGGTTTCACTGACCTGTTTCCATCATCACCCATCATCTCTCACTGTTGGCGACCACGTATGTCGATAGCACGAGACTACCATTCTATTATCACCCATTAAAAAAATCATCGTGGTTAATTCCTTGTGAGTTCCGTATACGGACTTTTCATCTTCGCCTATCATTTACTAGTACCTACCCACAAAAAACTATCAAAAAAATTAAAAAAAAAATGTGGATACCCGAAAACACTTAGATATCACAATTTGGGTATCTTCTGTCTCCCTTCCACCTCAATTAGAGAGCCAAATTAAGTACAGAGCTTCAGAAAATCTTCAGGATATATAAAATAAGGCCATTAGGATCGATTCTGAGGCACTATTTCTCTTAACCTATTATTTTTATACATTTTTTACTTAAATCTATAAAAAGTTTAGTTCATATGGGTTACAATCAGTAAATTGCTAAGTATTACACCATAAATAAATGTTTACTGAATAATTTCTATTAAATGCAAATAGGAAAACCGTATACCTAATTTCCTTTGGCATGATTGTTTTTTACTTCGCTGAGAGTGCAGCTGATCATAATCTAGTCTGTAAAAAAAAAATAATATCTTTTCAATTATTTTTTTTTAAATAAGTAAATTTTTAGTATGAACTCCTTGTAAGTATTTAACATTTACTTTTTAATTAAATACTAGTGTTTTGCCAGTATTTAAATAATTACCATTTTAAGAGAGTGTTCTAACAGTTATTCTTAAAGACAGTGTTATGTCTCCGTACCTTATAATTTCACTGCAATATCCCACCCTTCAAATCACAGCCATTCAAGTACTGTTGCTTTATGACTGAAACTCGAGTGGGACAGAGTTACCCAAGCAGACGACTATTGTACGAAATCTTTCTCTGATACCATCATCATCATCATTTCAGCCATTATTCGTCCACTGCTGGACATAAGCCTCCCCCATAGACTGCCATAAAGAACGGTCCTGAGCCACCTGCATTCTTGCAATGCATTTGAGATCGTCACTATCTAGAGGGGGGTCGTCCTACTGCGTTTGTCCGTATGGAATAGCCACTCAAGAACCTTTCTTTCCCATCGGTTGTCGGTTCTTCGAGCTATGTGACCAGCCCATTGCCACTTCAACCACTTCAACTTGCTTATCCTTCCACTTATGCTTATCCGTGATGACATATGGAACCAAAACATGGTCCTACACGATTGCTCCTATGAAAAATCTTCGAATAACTTTAAAATGTGCCGATGTTTTTACCCTGTTTGAAAATCATTAAAGCTTTTGGCAGACTTTGTATCTCGTATACATAATTCTTATAATTAATTGTGATTTCCACAACCTTATTGTGAATGACAGATATACACAAATACATACATGCACACACAAACAAAATAACCCACACAGGACTTATCACATTACGAATATTTGAAACAAGTTAGCACAAAACGTGATATACAAACAAATCAAGTGCATCCACATTACAATATTTACATTAATAATTTAATTCAGTTACCTAGCGAGGGATTGTTATTGTAATGGGGAATAGCGGCCCCAATGCTAATAATCATTATTATCATATCGTCATAGTCGTAGAATACTGAAGGATCTGACGAATATTACATATAAAGATCCGTCAGTATTCTACGACTGTGACGATATCGGGGGGAAAGGATTGTTAGTAATGGAGACTGAGAATCCCATTGCTAGCAATATACCCAACCAGGTCGACCTCCTCGCGGTCCGCCCTGGAAACTATCATGGTTAATTCCTAATGAATTCATCATGATGGGCTAACTGGCCTGTTTTCATTCTCATCTATCATCCTTCACTGGTGTTCCGCCAGATTATGCCGTTAGTGCAGGCAGGGTTACCATACCATTATCATTACACGTACATTAAAAAAGGTCCCTTCCCTCTGGAAAATAATTATAAATATGCCAATTTAGAGAAGGATTAATGAAAATAATATCAAAAGTAAACAAAATATCAATTTTTCAAACATATTTATTCATTTCTCGGTATAACTAAAATATATATAGTAGATATAGTAAATATATATATATATATATATATATATATATATATATATATATATATATATATATATATATATATATATATAGTTTTGCATCAAATCTCTGTATATATATATAATACTAATCAAGTAATCAGTGACATAGTTGGGGTGGAGGTTACTGCTACCATTGCTAGTAAAATATCCTGTCAGATCGACCTCCACACGGTCCCATCTGGATGGACAAACCATCGTGGTTAACTCGTCGTGAATTCATTACGATTACCTAAACGACCTGTAGGTCAACCATGAAATGAAATTCCGAATTTTCGGAATCAATTTCGTCTTTTTGTTCGTACCGAAATCGGTAACCGAAATAAAAATTTCTTTGTGGCAATCGAATGGCTTTGTTACATGGCGTATTAATTATTGGATCATGCTGTGTGCATATGTTGTGACAAGTTTACCTGAACAATAAATACATTAATGTAATTAAACTTGTATATTATATTTTAAGTTTGTATTTCTAAACTTCTGTTACGTGTGCCATATAAATAAAATAAAAAAAAATAGAAAAAAAAAAATTTGGTCATATATTATGTCCATGGTACTGCTCATGTCTATAGGCGACGGTTACCACTTTCCATCAGGTGGGCCGTCAGCTCGTTTGCCATTCTAAGTTGTATAAAAAAAAAGAATTTGAACACGTTATATTTTTTACTTTATTTTTTAACTTTGAACGTTTCGTGATAAATATTACGTATTATATTAATTAATCGACTTATTAATTACTAGCGATCCGACCCGGCTTCGCATGAGTAGATAGAATTTATTAAAATCAATACATACAATAAAAAAAAAAAGTTTTAGCCAATTCAACTGATCGGTTATTTTATAGCATTTTACATGTGATTCATTAGATTGATATAACTTTTGTATTTATGAACCGATTGAAATGAAACAAACACTGAATGTTAAATGGAGCAAACTGCAACGCATTAGTGATTCAAATCGGTTAAGCCGTTTCTGAGAGACAAACGGACAAAAATTCTAATAATCATTGTTTTGGGTTATGTTGCGTTTGTAAAGCATCCGTATAACAGTTTTCTTATATATCTTCCTACATGTGTAGAGACAGCGATCAGTTACGATTTTATTATATGTATTGATTGATAACTAAAATGTCCTACAAACCTATTTTAAGTACTAGTGTTTTATCACTGTTTTTCAAATTGAGAAATTAGTACAAAAGAAAGAGAGAAAACGCGTCAATTGCCAAAATAGGTTTATGGGAGATTTGACGTTTTTATGAATAAGGCGGCAAGACTATAGATAGGTACTTAAGTCGAGAATTGATTACATTATATAATAATTGTAGCAGATAATTTCATAAATACTTGAAACCAAGCTATTACAGAGTAATATTTTATGTTTCAAAAATAATTTTTAATATAGGTTCGTACATTACCATTATTTAGTTATATCTAGAGACATTCCTCCACCTTATTACGAATTTCGACAATACAAATAAACAGATTTTACTTCGCAAAAAACATTCATTTCAATCGTGACAAAATTAAATAAGTATTGACTATTCTTAATTTAAAACTATTTAAACGCACCGATAAGGCTCTAAAGACTAGTACTCAAAGCTGTAAAAAGCATTAATAAAAAAAAAAAAAAACAGATATATTTAAAAATAATCAATTTTAGAACGAGGAATCGTGTGTCTACAAGATTACGTTCTATAAATTCAAATGTTTTAAATTTCATGTCTATTGATGCGTTTTAATCGTTTTAAAATAAGAATAGATATAATTATAAATTGTATTTTTTAAATTATTTTATTACATCATAAGAATAAATATTCTGGATAGAATTGATACTTTCCTGAATTTACGTACTGACGTCATGCGTCCAACTCGCGCATTATATAAAGTCAGGGCTCGCAAGCGACAAAGTAGTGAGGGCGCACGTCTCGTTCACTCGCATGTGAATCGCGTGAGTCGTCCCATATCGTACATTTAAGGCGAATAAATTTGTCACAACCCTGCCAATCAACGTAAAGTCAGATGGCAAAGAGGATACATTTTGACGGCATAGTCCCATTCGCAAAGGAAATTAGATGGGTGTCATTTCTAGTCAGTCTATTGATTCTTATGAAGTCTACATTCTTAGACTTTTGTGCAGTATGAAAAAACGCGTTTACCAAACAGTTTAATAAGGTTTTTAAGCCGTTTTCTGACTGATGCTCCATCTAGATAATAAAGCAATAACAATCAAATAAAGAAGTCAATCCATAAATTGCATTGATATATGTAATTAAGCTACTTAATCTAAGCTTTATTAAAAAATAAAATAAAGTCAATACGTAAATAAATAAAATACATAAACAATCACTAATATTTATTTCATACACTTTATTTTCAGATCTAAAATGTAAACATGAGCGTAACTTAACTGTAGTATTATTAATTTATCTATTACTTAACTGACATGCGCAACACTTAATTCTACTTGTGATACCACAAAAAAAATGGATAATAATTTAAATATTGTTTAAAATAAAGCGTAAAATTCAGATCTAAGAATAATCAGTCAATTTATGCAATAAGAAATAAAAAAAAAAAAAAACAAATTCATAAACAGAAGCGTAAATAAAAATTTAAAATAAGTTAACCTATTTTTACACTAACATTTGTTACTAAACATCAAAATAGGTAGGTACATATCATGTTTAGAAATATAACTATGGCTTTAAATCGGTATTCAGTTAAATAGTTATAATATTTAAATTGATCTTATTTTTTATTTGGCTATTAGGAGAAAATATTTGACAGAATTCGAGCCTGAATGAGCTACTTCCTTTGCCTTGCTTTTTGTTAATGAAAAAATGTATTGAAGATAGTTACCTGGGGTCTCAATATGGAGGATAGAGGTATGGTCTTATAAGAGGAAACACTAACAAGTGTCCAGCTGTTAATTGAAAATAATAGTTCCAAATCCTTCCAGAATGGCGCTAGAGTAGCAAGAGTGTATGATATGAATTTAGCGGTTGTTAACGGAGTGAAGTGCGCCGAGTTTAAAAAAATTATTTTCTATTTAATGTATAATAAAAAGTTTAATAATGACATTTTATGGTAAAATTAATTATATACGATATCGTTGTTTTTTTTTTTTTTAATTTATATATTTTCTTTTGAAAAGTGCGTTATTAAAAGGAGAAAGTTTTGTTTTCCTTGTTTATTTTCTTCAAAATTTCTCCTTAGCCCTCCTGCTAATTTAACGCCTTTTGACGGACACTTTTTCATAAACAGAGAAGGTTCTTCTTACCTCTACCCTCTATAGGTCTCGTCTCTTGAATTTTTTTTTTTTTTATCTCTTTTTTAGAGTTCCTAAATAAAAACCATCTTAAAAAAGCTTTTTACTTATTTTTTCTACTTATATTTATAATAGAAACTTTAAATATAGGATAATATAGACAGCAATAGACTGTGGTGTGGTTACATTTGAAGCACCGATTGTTTTTAATATTGTATATACTTAGAAACAGGTATAATATTTATAGAAAAGCTAAGTAACATTTGTACAAGATTGCCAGTAGTAAGTAATTTAATTAAACAATATTTAGAATAATATATTATTTGTTAACGAAATACCATCGATTAATCTTGCTGTGTGGTTTCGACCTAGAATGGGCCACCCCTTTCTTTCTCGTGGGTGTTGTAAGACGCAACTAAGGGAATTTAATAATTGCAGGAATTTAATAAACAAACCCCCCCGACTGCCAAGAGCGGCATCAACTGGCAAAACCCCTAGAAGGTACCTAGGTTCAGCAGTGGACAGTAAACGGCTGATGTGGTGTGGTATGGTGTCCCGTAACTTATGATTGACTTATTTTAAATACTGTTTAATTAAATTATTAAATTTCAAGAAAAGTTTCAAAAATTTAAAGTAATTTACATTACCATAATTCTCCAATTTCCTTATAATAGTAAAAATAATACATGATAGAAAATAAATATGTGTTACTATAAATTAATTCGGATACTATAATTCTATAATTTAGAAGAATGCTGTACTTATAAATTTAGAAAAGAAATGTTTTTTTTTTTAAATAGGTAGGTACTTATGTATAATGGTATACTGTCAAAATTACACACCAGAAAGATGAGTATTTATACTCATTATAATAAATCCGTTGTCAAACATGTAATTATAATACAAACGAGAAAGTTCTCATGTATTAACTTATATGACTCTTTTATAGAGCTACTAATACATAGCAGAAAAATATCAAGATTGAAAGAATTGCGAAGTGTAACCTTACAGATCGCAGTTGGCGCCAAAACTTTCATAACCATAGACAATGAGTTTTAAAAAAGTTTGTAAAAATACTACTGCGCAAGTTACATATTATAAAATAATAATAAAACATTATCACTAAAATATTAAAATTGACACAGTACCAGATTAATGTTTTCAATTAAATAAAATGCTCTTGGGGGTGGCAAAGGAATACCATTCCCTCAGCTATTGTTATAGCATTCGTCCTTTTTTTTTTTAATAAATCGATCACATATCGTCACGAATTATAATAATAAATTATAAAAAAAAATAAAGAATACATTTTTTCCTGGCATTATATTTTGCTGAACAGTTTTCAAAGACTACAACGTTACAATGAATTCATTATTATCTACTATTTTAATAACTTTTAATATTTTACTTCCTTCATAAGCTGCTACTGCCTTGTTTACGGTCGTATGGCGTAGATTATCAATGGTGTACCACCAAAACTTCTTCCTGTTGCAAAATAAAATGGTAGTAAGTAGTTAAGTATTTAAACTATAGACGAATAACATCTACATGGAGTCTCGCTACAAACGCTGCGACAAAAAACAATACCCAAAAAAAATTACGTCGGCAGCGTATACAGATAGCGCAGGCGACGTCGCCATTCAATTTGAATCGTTAAAAAACTTAAAAGAGCAAATATCTGCTCAATAATAATAATAATAATAATCTTTATTACGGACTTTTTTGGTCCATTAAAATATTTCACTTTGTTTATTTGTATTCATTTATTTTTATTCAATATACTTCACTTTGTTAAATATGAGAATTAATTGTTATTTTCACATTAGTTTATTAGTTTTAATATAACAATTAAGAAATGTCTTTTATGTTAAAATATAAATTTAATACCTAATTATAAAATAGTACTTATAAAGCATGCAGAATAGAAAGTATCTTACCTTTTTAGGCGAAACAGCTTTAGTTGTATGCCTTCGCATTAAGCCAGCCAAGGATAAGCTCCAAGCAATTAAACTACTATTTTAGTATTTTTTAGAAGATTTTGGTAGTTGTTTTCTATAATGACAAATTATCGAAATTATGAAAAGCAAATCCCTTATATGATCACATGCTTAAAATCCAATAATCCCAAGCCACTTTTAAAAATACATTCACTTGAAAAAAAAATATCAACAGAGTAAAATTTCACTTTTTTTAATATCTCTATTTTTTTACAAAAAAAAAAGTTCATTGACGTTTTGCTAAAATAAAAAAAAATATATTTCTTTTAAATATAATATACTTTTTCAAAATTATTATATTTCTTATTCCTTACGTATGATTAAAATCCATTTATTTGTCGCTTTAATATCTGTTACCATTTATCAAATCTGCTATACCATAGTTATTATTTATCGGATAAACTATACATAAACTGAATTTGTCGTAAAGAGTACACAAGCCGAAATCCAGTAGTTAACAGTACTCACGACACTAAATAACTTTCCTTGACGAACGTAGTCGAAATGTCATTTTTTTTATATTTCAAGTGATTTCATTAGAAATTTTAAATTTATATTTTAACTGTGCTTTTTCTAAAAAAAAATCTTTAGTTTTATGAATAGGTACTATCATTGAGTGTCGACTTAGAATACCCATATAGGAGGACATTTTTGGTCATTTTTTTTTTTTAGTACGTTTGTTCCGTTGTGGAACAGGCTAAGGTCGGAGACCATGCTGCCTAGTCTTTAAAATGATAATTTGTCTGGAATATTTTTTGGTCATTTATGAATGTCAATATTTTTTTTAATCCCACCATCTCATTCAGCAAGCAAAAGAACAACCGTTAGCTCAATAACAATTAGTTGTTCCTTAGAACGAATGAATTAATGAAAACTTTATATATTAAGATAAAAAAAAAAATCTCGTATTTTTTTTTTTTCAAATATTTATTCTACATTTTTCGATCGTCTTAAATATGTAACAACAACAAAATATACAATATTGATATAATTGTAACAACGACGATTATAACAAAACAGTTTTTACACACCAGTATTTTATTGTGAGGGTGACCGTGTACATTTAATATTTTTGCATTTTATTCAAAAAAAAAAAAAACATTAGTGGTGAATTTTAGAAATTGATTTTTTAATTAAAAAAAAAAAAAACAGTTATAAAACTAGTGAAGAACTAACAAGGGAGTAAACTCTTACGATTAAAGAATTAATTATGAATTCGGATTAAACTTGATAAAGATATCGCGTAATAACGAAAAAGAGAACATATTAATGACTCTACAGAAATAAAAACATTTCTTTGTAAAACAAAAATATGAATTTAGTTGTGAAAACAATATTTTTCATATAATACTTGAATAAAACTAAATAATTTGCTAACAATTATGGGTTTATTTATTTGCAAAAAAAAAAAAAATCACAAGACAATTGATTGTGCATATGCAAAAGAATAAAAGAAGTTTGCCTTGTTGAAAGAAACAGGATATGGTATGAATTAAGCTGAAGGAGATATAGTATGCCCAAATGTTTGTACTACAAAAGATGAAGGAATGGTGCCATTGTCTGGATTACAAATTTACATTGCATATTATAAAACACCTTACCATAGACAAAATAATAAAACTTTATTTTCTATCATCATCACAGTCATGATAAAGTGAACGGTGCACTAAATACTATAAATTGCTAAAATTTTTTTTTTTATAAAATAATAAATTAAGGTCACCACTCACAAGAAGAGTTTTTTTTTTACAATTTACGCTTGATCCGTGAGTATTGTAAGTAGTAGTAGTACGGTAAAAAGACATTGTACAAGCAAACAAATATTTTTTTTTTTTTTTTAATAAAATATACTTGTCAAAATTAGTAAGAGATATAGGATCAGATATAGGATCAAAATGAAAAATATATATAACCAATATAAGAGTACAATAAAAGAAATAAAAAATAAGTAATTCGTCGAATTGAGAATATTCTTCTTCACGAAATGGATTATTCGGAAAAAAGAAATACTAATAACGAAGCAGCCTGTCCGATAAGGGCTTATTAAAAAAAAATCGGTTGAAGATATTTTAAAGCTAAAACAGGCACTATAATCCTACCAAAAATACTCACAGGTCGAATGGATACATTTTGAACCATTAATATTACACTCACAATAAAGCGGATTATATTTCAAAAGCGAACAACAAATTGCTTTCATTTTGACAACCTTTTATAGCGATTATTATTGGGGATAAACATGAACTAGTAGCTATTGGTCGACTTACGCAGGCAACACTGAATTTAATAGTTATATTGAAAAACGTTTTTATACTTAATCGAAATTTTGCAATTGTGAATAAAGAAAAAAAGGCTTTTTTAATATCAATTTTTTTTTTCTAAATTTGTACTATGCAAACAATATTTGATATGCCAATTACGTAGGTACTCTTAATTATGGACGTATTTAACGAAATGGAAATGGTAAAGAAAAAATTATTACGAAAACTTGGTGAGCTACAAAACGATAGGTTTTTTTTATTATTAAGATTAAATCTTAGATTAACGACATATAGATGGAGTGTTTCCTTACAAACGCTTCGCCAAAAAGAGCCAATATTTTAATTAGCGTGCGTGAACACAGAAATTAGAATATACAAAATGAATATTGCAAAAATATGCTGAAAAATAAAAACAATATATTATTATTATGTGTTTATTCGAAACAAGGGGGTAGATAGAGCATCATGATCGATAATGCTTGGCTTCACCGACTTTATGACTTGAAAAGTATATTTATTACGAAAATCACTAAAAATGTTTGTAACTTTCATTTATATATGAATACTAGCTGACCCCGCAAACGTTGTTTTGCCATATACATTATTTCTAGAAAATAGTTTTTTTTAGGGGTGGGTCACCCTTATCATTGAGGGGTATAAAAAATAGATGTTGTCCGATTCTCAGACCTACCCAGTATGCACACAAAAGTTCATAAAAATCGGTAAAGCCGTTTCAGAGGAGTTTGGTAACAAACACCGCGACACGACAATTTTATATATAAGATTTATTAGTATATAAAATACATGTAGATATATATATAGCCGAGGCAATTATATATATATATATATATATATATATATATATATATTACATTAGTAAAAATTAATATAGATACGTATTTGAAAATATCTATCTGATCTGAGGAATTTTGAAGCGTAGCGTAACACTGGAAAACGGTGAGCTGTTTTTTTTTTAAAAAATACGCCTCAGTCAAAGTTAGACAGGTACGCTGAGCGTTTTCGGGACGTTTTTTACTCTCGACTCTCCATCTAGATGCCTATGATCTAAGATTGAGATTAAATATTCACTTGCACTCGTATCTTATTTTAATCAACAACCAGTTGTTAAAAATTCTAATGTTTACTAAATGTGTTGATAAGATCAGTCGTTTTGCTGAACATTATTGGATGAATTCAGTCATAACTTTTCTATTAAGGCTTATTTCGTATTTTTAGTATACACTTTTCTATATAAACACTCAGCTTGTGGAATGAGCTGCCTGCCGAGATTTTCCCAAGAGACTACAGCATGGGATTCTTCAAAAGGGGGGTAAAGAGGTTTCTTCAGGGTCGGTAACGCGCGCGTAATACCTCTGGTATTGCAGGTGTTCATAGGCTATGGTAAGCACTTACCATCAGGTGGGCCGTATGCTTGTTTGCCACCTCAGTGGTATAAAAAAAAATAATTCATAATAATTTTGATAAAAGATTCAGTCCTTTAAAAATATTTACGTGGACCGAATGTATTTTGTTCTTTAGTCTCTTTAAAAATAAGAAAAAAAAGGAAATTTAAAGGGCCCTCTTACTAAGCATCACGCTTTTAACCTTATATGACTTCTGATTTATTTTTTATTATAACTTTACACTACACTCAACGCCCGTGTGTTTGCGTGAAATTTATGGTAACCCCTTTTTAATAGATGGCAACAATTCCACTTCTTACCTGTCTACATACTTACGTGAACCACAAGTTTTTTAAACACAAGTAATACATAAGAACGATAAAAATATAAAATTTCATTTATTTTAATATTATTTTATAATCTAACAGAATGCAATGTTGTTATTTTTAGTAAAAAACATGCCTATTAACTTTATTCCAATTACGAAATAAGCCTTTTAAAGTTTTTTTTTTTTATGATTAACATGATCATGGCTACGACACTAAATGTTGCTAGAACGAAAATTTAAAAAACAGGTCCGCGATTTGGCTTCAGTTTCACGAACTGCACACATCTAGCGTTCCATTTTTGAATTCAACAATACAAACGGAGAAGAGAAGACAAAACGAAACCACCACACAATAATCGACGATACACGACTGGTTTTATTGCTAGAATTTTATTAAAGAAACACGAACCGCTCACTAGCGTAAGCTGTTACCTTCCTCGTAATGGAAGCACCCATTGTTGTGATACAAATTGCCTTTACGCGTAATCACATAAGTTCCACTAAGAAGCCAGCGTCAGAATGTTACGAGAACACGAAGCGTTAATTACAAAATGGCCTTTTTTATCATTTGTAGTCATTGTCTACTTTTTCTTTCAAGTGCATCTATATCCCACCATTCAAGCAGCGTCCAAGAACAAATAGCATTTATTAAATATATTAAATATAGCAGAAACAGGCTGTAAATAATGTAATCATATTAAAATGTAGATCAGGCGTGTTAGTAACGCGCATGAGCAGAAAAATTAATGGCACAATTGTCATGTCTATGGACATTAAAAAAAAAATCTTTTAGGTATAATTTTGTCAATTATTTTTTAACACAGAATCATAGACTCTGTGTGGAATCTTGATTTTGCTACTGTAAACTTACCCCCTTATTTATAACAACTAAAAAACCTTCTACAAACCTATTTTAACTATTATACTATTTTGTATTTTTTTTATACAACTTAGAATGGCAAACAAGCTGACGGCCCACCTGATGGAAAGTGGTCACCGTCGCCTATAGACATGAGCAGTACCATGGACATAACACACAGACTGTTTCGCCCATGATACCCCCAATGCGTTGCCATTCCTGAGAACTCAGGTGTTATTCCTCTGTACCCAGTAAATTCACGCTTCAAATTAAGAATTTTACACAAAAGAAAGAGACAAAACAGTTCAATAGTTTATGAGAGATTTAACGTTTTTATGAATAAGGGGGTTAGTGTATTGAAACATTTTTGTTATTTCTTAGTCTTGAAATAGATAGTCAATCAATAAAAAAAAACAATAACAGATATATTTTTCTAAACAATAATTTTATACATATTTTAATTGTACCTTTAATTTTTTTAAATGTTAGTAAGCTAGTGTAGCACGCACGTTATTTTACAAATCGCGGCAAAGAACATGAATAAAACCATACAGAATGCCACAGATAACGAAGCTTGCGCAATAGACGCCTTTGTATATTAAAATGTTACTGGAAATTGTAGCCAAGTTGTTTACTGGCATTATGCATTTATTTCATGTGTCCCATAACCATATGATAAAAATAAAAAACATATGTTGTGCTGGGTTAGTAATTATTGAACATTTTCAAGCGTGGTCGATTAATAAAGTTGTAAAATTGTTGCAATTATATTCATAGTGATATAATACTTAAATAAACAATATAACAAAACTATGAAATGAAATAATTATTACTAATTCAAATGTACATTTTAGTTAGTAATAAATATTATTTGATAATTGTAAGTGTTGCTAATAGCAACGTGCTAGTGGATAAATGTTGCCAGTATTCAAAAGTTAGGTCTAAAATAAATAATATCTCGAGATGTCACTATTCCATAGACTAGGCATCTTCAACGGCTATTTTAGAAAAACAAAATATTTGGAATATATTAAAAGAAAAAAGTATATATTTAAAATAAAAAAAAACGTAATAAGCTACTTTTTAATTCTCAATTAAAAAAAAAATAATGATCGACCACGCTCCGCAATATGGGAAATATTCTGTCAACTTACCACTTCACTTGTGAGACAGTTAATGGTGGAAGGGGGCACGGTGCGGGGCGGCGGCGGCGGGCGGGGGGAACGCCTCCCGTCGCTGTGGGTGACACCTCGAGCCGGGGTTATGGGGTAGCCTGCAATTAATTTTAATTTTAGACTATTTTTTGCAGGTGCAAAGAACAAACGCGGTATTTCCTACATTTTTAATGTGGCTGAGGTAGTTACTACCAAATGTATTGAAATTAAATATGTTATAATCAACTTTAAAAATGGAATAGAAATATGTTTTTTTTTCAGGGTCTAAAAAGGTGAACAGAGCCGACCTAAGCCGAGACTGCCCGACGGTTTTTAATGTTGCCGTTCATCTCATGTTGCCATGTTGTCACGAGGGTCCTGGATGTCTTATGTTTTCTTTTTTTCCCTTTGAAAGTAAGAAACTTGTCTAGGAACATCAAATAGGCTAAGTGCAAACCTGCATCAGCTAGGTTGTCATTCTAAAGTGCTTAATTACCTTATATTGGTATAATATTTCCGTACCTTGTTCACTGCTACTGGATTCGGTGAAGCTGGGCGTTCCCTCCGTCCACGTGGGCGTGGAGCCCTCCACAGACGCAGGCGGGGTCCAGCACACACTGGACATAATAATACAGTTGTAATCTAATTAATATATTAAAATTGTAACTAGACGATGTCTGTACATAGAATTACAAAAGAAGCAAAGACACAATTTCACACCAATTTCATATGCGCACGATATTTTTTTAAGAGATCGATTTCACATTAATAAAATTGCCATTAACAATTGACCTTAAATCAAAGTATCCAATATTTTAAGTCACGATATAACATATCTGTGTTTCGTACATAGTATCATTAAAATCCGTTTAGCAGTTTTAGCGCAAAAGAGTAACAAAGATCCATACATTCTCATATATTTTGTATTTATAATAGTGTAGTAGTAAGATTTGAGATGGAGAAGAACTTAAACTGCTGTTATGGCGGCCAATTAAACTAAACTATCATTACCATGCGGACAATGTCGCAAGTAAAAACTAGTATGTGAAAATATGAATTACCTGGCCTCATTACTTCTCGCGCTGCTTAACGCAGCCGGCGTCAGCGCGAGCGATGACGCGGACGAGGTAGTCATAACGCTAGCCGCGCTCGACGCGCCGCGCCGTCTGCCCGACGCACTCGACGACGTGGTCGATGACGAGTTAGTGCGACTCGTCCGCGGCGGTGGCGCCTCCTCGAACGGCGGTGGCGGGGTTGAGCAACAGGATAGCGGGGCTGCAGCTGACGGGAAACTAGCGTTACTAGGTATAGTCACTAGCGTTGTAGGAGCTTCGACTAATAATGACCGACTGAGACGTAGATTACAGTTCTGTTGTACTACATGGAGTTATAGATGACGATCCGTCCCGAACATGTCTCGTGGAGCCAAATGAGTTTAGGAATAAAAAAGATTTAACATCTACAAAGTGCATTACTAAATATAGTGTGATAATTGTAAGTCACAACTAAACAAACAACGAGCATAGTATATATTGTCAGATACAAACTACAAGTAGTAAAAGGTTAGTAAATTAATATTAATAAATGGCAGTAACAGGAAACAAGTAGGCAACATTAAACATAGAGGATTTACATCGCTACGTAAAAAAGCAAACTACATTCTAAGAGAAGAACAAGTACAATATCTACTGGTTAGTAAAAAAGTAGAAATTTTATGAAATAATCTGACGATTTTTTTTTTCTAACGATTTCATTTTCAATTCAACCCTTATTTTTATACTTTTGTAATCAACATTCCAAAATTTTGCTGTCACTCAACAACGCAGTACAACATTTAAAAATTTTGCCGTAATTTATAAAATCTCTTCAATGTCCTTTTTCATTTTAAATATCTTTCTCTTTTCCGATCTCTTTTTGAAACTACCCTTTTTCTTCTGTCTTGCAACTTTTTTTGGCACATTCGAATCAGATTCCGTTGTTTCGGAAAACTTTTTGATTTTCTCGTGTACATTACCACTAATTGATTTAGATACAACTGGAGCGATGACAGTTATATTCAGTAAATAATTGGACTTTTTATCACTTGAACTAGTACTGCCATGACTAAATTCAATTGGTTCAAATAATTTTTTGGTCTCTTTTACAAGCGGCTTTGCTATTTCTGGTGTCTTTTGTGACTTTTTACTATCTTGTGACGAAGATATAGAACTCCGTCTAGAACTATTCTCCGAGTCCGATTGAAGTTTCCGTATATGTTTTTGGAACATGTCAATTTTTGTTTTAGCCTTTCTATGGCAAACAACTTCGTCTTTAGTCATTCCTTTAGAATGTTCTTCAGAGTAAGGTTTAATCACTATATTGGGTTTTGGCTTCTTTGCATCTTGTATACGACTTTTATCTCTTTTAGACTGATTAAGATTGAGCCGTTTAGTCAAACCCGTTATTATTCCAGATTTTGAATCATTTTTCTCCAGTTTGCTCTCATTTCCCTTTGGTTCATTTTGTTTGGATTTTTTTTCTGTGCCTGATACTTTTTTCAGGTTTTTTGCTGCTGAAATTAAATCGGAAGATTTCACGTTGTGCACACTAACCTTCTCAGCAGATAATTCAAGACAGACCGGAGATTTTCTCGTAATTTTATCACCAATTTGGCTAACCATTCCTTTTAGAAACTCTGAAGGACTTTTAGATTGCGTGCCTTTGGTTTCTTTAAGTTCATTTTCATTCATTTCGTAAACTATGATTCTTTCTTCACTACTAGACTCTGTAAGCGATATATCATCATAGTTTCCAGTATCCAAGTGTTCTATAACTGCTTTATCAATATTAAACTTAGCCATCATTGTAGTTTGAGCAATCAAATCTTTGCCGGGATACGACCTTTCCGTAATACTGTCTCCCTCTTCAACAAAATCTAAAAAAGAATTGGAAGCGACCAATTTGGTCACTCTAACTGAATGTTCGGACACAGACGGCGCAATGTGGCATGCAATAGGCTGCTTAAATTTAAAATCATGCCCATAGAAGCAGAAATCGTCGTCACTGCTCGTTATTGGTGTTTGCGGTGGGATGTCGTTAACGGATATGTCTAATTTGGGATAATCACCTTTCATGTCGAGACTGGATGACTGCGAGTTTGCACCGCCACGTTTCGCTTTAGGCGAGCCCCTGGGCGGTACAGGGGGTGGTACTCTCTGTTTCTGAGAGCCCTTAAGGACAGCCGGGAAGGCTATATCTGGTTCTGACGATGCTGTGGTCGTCTTAGAAGACGACACTATAATTTTGGCGGCAGTGGCCACTGGTGACGTCACTGAGGTCGGTGTTATATGTGCTGTGACGTCAGACAGTGACACTGAAGGGCACAAAAACAACTCGTCAATTTGTATAGATTTATTCAATAAGGTACAAACGTAAGTTTTGGCACGTCCAGAGTATAATGTTAACAATAAAAAATATTTAACAAACAAAATATATTTGTGTATTAAAATGGAAGCGTAGTTATGATAGACAGTCGATACAGTTTAAAAATCCAAAATAGCGTGTTTGTATTTATATTTTTTAGATGGGGCTTGACCGTCAACGAGTCGTATTTATTATTGGTGCATATTTAAAGATTGGTGACGTTCAGAAAATAATAATGAGCATGCAAGTTTTTTAGGTATCAGGTACAAAGAAAAATGTGAAAGTATACCCAATAGTAACAGATCCGAGATCGATAGCAGCGTGAAAAAATAATATATGACAAGTTTACTGATTTGGGGGGGACACAATTGTCTAGTAAAAAGCAAAAAGCGTAGCAAGGGAGCTAATGGGAATTAGTAACTTCGATATTTATAAATATTTTGTTGTTAATTTTGAAATTAACTTAATAGATAATAAGGCAATGGGCGATTCTATAATCTGTTTCTAAAGAATTTAATGAAAAAGTAATTTGTTATTGTTGAAACAATCACAGAAAGATTTTAACAAATTGCCACATTCAAAAATTCGATCGATCGATATTTTATTTGTACTATTATTGGAGATCAGTAGATTTACATTTTCATTAATTTCTATTGAATCAGATTATAACTACACTGATACAGCGGAATCCTGTGTCTAATGCAAGCAATAAGCAGGCATTAAAAATCTTTGAGACACAGGACACACATAAAATGCCCCTTGCTATACTTTTCATTTTTTTTTTAAAGGGCTAAGGAGTTCCATTTATATATTTATCTATAAAAAAAATTGTGATTTGCGCATGTTTTCAAATTGCAGTGTCATTTAAGAACTTCAAAAGTAGGTTAATGAGGAGCCCAGAAATTTAATTACAATTTTAAAAGTCTAATAAGACGAAGACACAATAACATACTGCCGTACATATATAGTGTATACCTATATATTTTATAATTTGTAAGCATGGCAAATAAGATTTATATGTCGGCTAAATATTTTAGTTTATCATTTGTGATATAAAAAGAATTTTCTTGTTGGATTTATAAGGCAGATACGAATAGGCAAAGAAACTTGTCTGTACAGCTATAGGTATAACACACAACGTAAAATTTTATACATCAATCCTGAGTCTCACCTGCTTTCAATCCCGCTGCACCGCTAGATCCAGCAGCGCCTAATCCGGTAGCGTGAAATGTTAGTTGACAAGTTATTTAGATAGAAAATATATATATACAAGTATATTTTTAAGTTTTTTTTTTTAGCGTTAAGGATAAATACTAACAATATACATAGATATTAGCAATAAACAAATATCAATAATAATAATAAAAATTCGCGCCGTTTCTTTTATGCAACTTAGAATGACAAAAAAGCTAACGGCCCATCTAATAGAAAGTGGTAACCGTCGCCTATAGACATGAGCTGTACCATGGACATAACAGAGTATACTCTTTCGCTCATGATACCACCCGCGTTGTCATTCCTGAAGACTCGGGTGTTATTACTATGTACCGTGTAAAGTCACTGTCATATCCCACCCTTCAAACCGAAACAGTGTATCGCACGTTACTGTGAAACAAAGACATAAAAGCAAAAACCCTACTTTAATATGAAGTTTTGACATCGATAATTCCTATGATATAAGAAACTATTTATAGATGTCTACATGTCTGTTATAAATCCCTACCCGCACTTCTCGGGTGAAAAAGTGATTGTTAGTAATGGAGACTAAGAATCCCATTGCTAGCAATATACCCAACCAGGTCGACCTCCTCACGGTCCCCCCTGGAAACTATCATGGTTAATTCCTGATGAATTCATCATGATTGGCTAACTGGCCTGTTTTCATTCTCATCTATCACCCTTCACTGGTGCTCCGTCAGCGTATCCCGTTAGCGCAGGCGGGGTTAACACTCCATTTTCATCCAATACCCGCACTTCTCTTTCATAAATATGATTAACAATAGTAATGTTTCATTTGTCAAGAAGTTTTTTTTACAGACAAATTTAACATTTAGACAAATTCTGAATAATGAATCTTATTAGTGGAATTGCCAAGTCATTATAATTGTTAAAGGAATAAATATGTCTATAATATTGAATGAATGAATGAATATTTATTTGTGTGCGAAATATGTGGACTTAATATTATTTTATCTATCTGTATATTTACCATATTCCTTGCAAATAAATATTCATTCATTGACACGGTCACTATAAATGTTGATAGGTAATTAATTAGATAAACAATTTATAACAAACTCGTTAAATAGCCGCTTCCATACACACTGACTAAAATAACAAACTTGGTACTACATGAGTTGTCACTTGGCATTTTTTTTTTACATTATATGTTTTCGATGTTTTGATATCTTTTTGATCTAAAATTATCAATTAGAAAACTTATATCGAGAGACTTGTATTATTTTTTTATTATTATTATGAATTAAAATGTCATCGATGTTTTATTTATATATATATATAAAGATCTAAAATTGTTTTACCATATACAATTTCTAGAACTATACATAAATATATCGTTATTATATTCAATTGTCATCTTGCAATTTGAAATATAAAAATTGCAATTAAACAACAGATTGTAAAAGCTGAAACTTTGAATTTGTATGTATTTTTCAATGCTAAATCATATTTAAATAAAAATAAAAAAATTTGCAAAAAAATAAAAAAAAAATTTTATTATTATTAAAAAATAAAAAAAAATATGCACACAAAATTTCATGAAATATTTATTTATATATATATTAGAAGATAAATCTCATCTCACGGTATTTGTGGTTGCACTCCTACGAAACGGTTCGACAGATACTTATGAATTTTTTTATGTATATTTGGTGAGTTTGAAAATAGGTCGAAAAGTATATTTCGGGTCTGCTAATATATATATCTCAGAGCTGATGATCGTGCGAGATCAGTGTTTTTTGTCCATTCCAAAAAGTGCTCAACTTGCCTAAAGAAGTTTTGGCTTAAAAAAAAATAACTTCTTTTGAATGAATGGGGATATCATTAGAATCCATACGTCATTCTGAGTGGAAAGGGAAATATAAAAATAAAAAAAAAAAAATCAATAAGGCGATTGTGTAACGTAATTTTTTAATCTATACTTATAATAAATCTGTAGAGAGGTCAATTCTGTACATGAAATATATTTCAAAAATAACTATCAGCGGGTGATTAGTGATCGATACTGATGCCAAAAATGTAATCAGTAAAATTTTTGTCTGTCGTCTGTATGTTCGTCATAGAAATAAAAACTATTCGATGGATTTTGAAGAAACTTGGTACAATTATTCTTCATACTCCTGGGCAGGTTATTAGTATACTTTTCATCACGCTACGATCAAAAGGAGCAGAGCAGTGAAGGGAAATGTTGGGAAAACGGAAATTACTCCATTTCTAAGCTTCCGTCGCGTGTGTAGCCTTAATGGCCACGTTTAAAAATGGTAAAACTCCACCCGTGCGACGCCGGGACGGGCCGCTAGTGTAAAATATTTTTTTTAACAGGGTAGTCGTGTCTTCTTTTTCATATGTTATGTAATAGAAAAATAAAACATTTGTATTAAAATAAAATTGCTTTAATTCAACTTTATATACACATTTTCGTCAAATACAAATACAGCATGTATGAGTCATAAAGATAAATTATACACAAAACATCATACATCCACATTCCATACAATAAATGTGAAAATTGTGAACGTATTTTACAATACAGGGATGAAGTCAAAATCGTCAGCATCCTTCTTAGAGGTCTCTACAGGCGAAACTGAACATTGTGTCCATTCACATAGACCGGCTAAAAGAGAGGAAATTTCGATCACGTTTAAATTAAAATTGTAAGACCATTGAAATAAGGTTTATTTTTGCATTTCACTCTTTTTAACGGCTGTCTAGCATTCTTATAAATAATAATTAAAGATTGTTTCCCACAAAAACCGACTTTAACCCTTTTAGTGACATTAATTTTTACTCATATCTACTTGAAAATGCCAAAGAAATCTTTGTCGTGTTGATGTCATTTGCCCTTGTCTCTAAAAAAACTGTATCTCCTCCAAAAATTATCCAATTTTAATATTTTTTTTTTACAGCAACCTAAACAGCGACGGATTTCACGTGCGCTATGACGCTCGTGACACTTTTAGTTGCAATGCGCACGAGCGCGATGGCGCTCGTCGGCACTCAAAGGGTTAATTGTGACAAAATCAGTTATTTTGATTTAGAAACTAAATTACTGAACTGTTATTGATAAAACTTCTCTTAGACAGAACTGTAAGTATATATCCTTTTAGATAAATATAGAATTTTCCAAATCGGTTCACAACTGACGGAGATATGAGGTAACAAACATAAAAAAAAAACCGAATTAAGAACCTCCTACTTTTTGAAGTCAGATAAAAAACGATATGTATTGAAATATTTTTTATGTAATTTATAAAGGCAAACAAACTGACGGCCCGCCTGATGGAAAGTGGCAACCGTTTTAATATATTTTATATATGATAGATCAGTCTAATGATATGTTTATGGTTTTTTTTATAGGTGAAAATGTTATGGTAACCCCGCCTGCGCTATACGCCTGCGCGGATACGCTGGCGGAGCACCAGTGAAGGGTGATTGATGAGAATGAACATATGTTTATTGTTGTATAAATACGTTATTACTTTACAATCCCTAACTTTTTACTGCACCGCTTACCTATTTCTCTGCCTATCCAATGGTTGACTGGCAGAGAACACCATCCGGTGTCAAATCCACCAAATGTACATACAATAACTCTGTGCATTAATGTTTAAATAAATAAATAAATAGATAAAAATAAACCTTATTACAATGACCCAAAACATTATTTTAAACGCAACCAGTCCGCTCTCCTCTCCCAGCCGGTCTGTGTGAACGGTAACTAATTTCAACATGTTTCGTTTTGGTATTTTTGGGAAAACAGAAGTTTTGCGAAACAAAAATAAAAGAAAAACAAATAAAATATAATATTTAAAATAATAATAGTAGTTCTCAGTTCTTATAAGACAATTCAAGTACATTATTTACTTTTATATGAAATAGAAATAATCATTTGCATTCTACCCTGTATCGACCTGTATTTGTGACTCGTAGACAGATATGATCCTATAAATATGACTTAGTGTCATAGTTCTTTATTTCCCATTTGACAAATAAGTTACTTGACGCATGTAAATCAACTTATTACATTTGTCGTTTCTGACAATTTGGCAAAATAAATAGAAGGGAATTGAAGGGATTTAAAATTTTCAACCTACTTTAAAAAGAAGGAGGTACTCAATTCGGTTGTATTTTTTTTGTTGTTACCACACAATTCCGTCATTTATAAACCGACTAAATAACCCCGTGTAATTCGTATCACTTACAACTCCATCTATTGAAAGTAATCCGAAGTAGCGATTCCCATACTAAATTAAACTTTTTCGAAGTCGGTTAAAAAGGATTTCGATCCGTTTCGATTTCACGCTGTATACTTAAAATCAGATTAATTACTTTGATTTTTAATGAAAAATAAATTAATTATGACTGTATCATGTATATTATTTTCGGAATAAAATGAAATTTTAAAATAAAATTGTAAAAAAAAAAGAATTAAATGTACTACTGTAGGTCACCTTCCTTATTTAACTCATTCGCAATTAAATTCAAGGCGTACATTTCAACAGAATATCGGACAAAGGGCAAAGTAATGCAAGTCGAAAATTTGCATTTTTATTAAATAAACTATGTGCTCTTAGATTTAACTTTAAGGCACCATTCTAGGCTTGAAAACTACTAATATAGGCATTGCAAAAGAAATTGAGCGCTTCAGCTGACACACAGACATTATTCAGTGTTCAATCCATTTTGGAATTCATTATAGAAAAATATTTCTAATAAGCAATTGACAACTTTAATACTGCTGTATAAAATATATATTTTTCGCAATATACAACTCTTATCCAGTTACGTAGAGGCTATTATAATATTATTATTACTCTTTTCTCAAACATGCTTGGAAATGTGAGCATTATTTTGACAATCTTCTTCAAGATAAATCAAAATTGCCGTACTGGTCAGATACATGCGGGCAGCGGCCGGCAAAAGTTTTATGAAAATCCATATCTGTCGTGTTTTGCGGCCAGATAAATTACTATGTAAACTCATATCTGTTCTGTAATTTAAAAATGGAATGGCCTTTTACTTCGAAACATGGCTACTAAGGAGGTAACTAATAAAAGGTTTTATTTAAATTTCGAACTGGCTTGCAAATAGAAAGCTGTTTCATGAAAAAAAAAAATAAAGGAACATTATGGCGCGTGAAAAATTATTATTGTTCGTTTCATTGAACTTAAAAAGTAAAATTGTGTTTTTGATTTCCGCGCATTGTTTGAGAAAAGTACAAGCCTTGTCTACAAGTAGGCATTGATGGACTCACGTATGTATGCCTTGGGTACGCCTCGGCCCACATTTGCACGTTCGTCCATCAATGCCTCAGTTGCTGGCCGCTGCAGTAATGTACTATTTGAAACAAATAAGTAAGCCTCCGAAATAGTTCGATTCCTTTTTTTTTGTCAAACATAATTGTCGAATAAAAACAAATACAAAGTAAGAAGACAATTTCTACAGAAAACGAAAACTACTTACAAACGTCGAGGAGAACCTCACGCACACATTAACAAAACACCGCACACATAAAACATTTCTTTGTATACGTCAAATAAAATACTGAATACTTCGCCATCCTCTTTTAAAATAGGTAAAATCTACACCTGCTACTACTAACAATGTGTTATATCATTAAAACATAAGATTAAAAAAAAAAAAAAACTAATGAATTTCGGAAGATAAATGGAAGGCACAGGTATAATAATATCTATATATTTGTCTATGGGCATTTCTAAAGCACCGCCAATTGTTTTTTACCTTATGTTTAACAAGTGTTTCAATGACAGGGCTGCCCAAACCAGTTACAATATCGAGCCAATACAAACCACATAATAGATTGGAGGGTCGCAGTAACAGAAAATTTAATTTATAACATTTTTTTGTATTCTTTATTTTCATCTTTCCAACCCTCCATAATTCTTTCAAAAACAATTTGACGAAAGCAAAATTATCGATAATTATTATGTAAAAAGTTACGTAAGCACACATCGCATTTTAATATAATAACTAACGGTTTAACTGGTGTAATTAGATCGAAAAAGCTCGACTAGTTTCGGAATCAATTCGTGATTCTTAGTCACGAGCGACCGTGACGCGAGTAGTTATTGCATTAAACTTTTCGCAGTTGTGGTAGATCAGGAACACGTTACGGGCCGCACAAATATAAGCTGCGGACCGTGATTTGGACAGCTCTGTATTAAAATATAGTTTACGTAATCCTAGTGTACTTTTCGCCCACGCGTTGATAATTTAAGACAATAAAATATACCACTTAGTATCTTACATCACTTTCATTTTCCTCGTGAATTAATATTATAAATAAATTAATACATTTTTTTCAGTCATACAAAATTGATTGTTTCTCGAGAGATAATTATTACAGCTTTGTTCTACTGCAGACAGAGAAAGCCAACATCCACATTAGTACACGTGTACTGAACATATGCACTTAATAACACACTATTTATAAGAATTAAAAAAAAAATTACAAAGATCTGCTAAGAAATTTACTATTAAACATTCTCCCATAGCAGATTAAATAATTACGTATTATATAATAAATACTATTAATAAATTACGTAAACGTTTATCTTTATTAAGGAAATCGATTCTAAAACTTTACAGTTAACAAAACTCTTTTGATTCATACAGAATCAGAACTGTTTCGCACTGGGCCAATATTCGTCCAGTGATCAGCACTCTGAACTCAGTTTGTAAAAGTGCATATTAAAATTATGTATTGGTAATACATTACCAAGCTAATTTATAACCAGCAATGCGTGGGTGGTCCGTCAGTCCGCCGGTGGTATCACTATAATGGTACTGCCGCTGTCCTTCCCAGTATACACTTCAGCCTGCTCTATCGACTTGATATATACGATCTCTTTTATAAATCTCTCACTGGCATCAGAGTCTTTGATGTGTTCATCACCGTTCAGTTGGACTACTGAGACGTGGTCTTTAGTTTGGACGTCCTGATCCCTCTTCAGTAACGGGGACTCTTGCTTTATATACACCGTTTGGGTCGACCGAACCTTCCGGAACCTCATGTCTTTGGGCAACGTGGACGCGTCCCGAGACTCTAGCTGCGTGGGGGTAGCACTACGGGTGCGGTAGCTGGAGTTTAAGTTCTTTGGTAACGTACTGACCTCTGTATTTGGCGCACTCTCAGTTTTAACAAGGCCAATGTCCACGAAGAACTTTTTAAACTTCTCGACGAATGTCGGCGACTTCGCTCGGTTGAAACTGTTTGTTAGACGCTCGTTCGAATGTTCCTTCGAACTGACCTCGTCTATTCTTTCAGGAATATTCGACATGCTCTTATGCTTTTCTAGGACGAGACCTCGACGCCGCGGGGATTTCGAAAAGTCATCGTCGTCGTCAATAAACGGTATATCTTGGAGGTTATTCTTATTTCTGGTGTCGACTGCTGCGTCTTTATAGATTTTCCCACCGACGGGTGTATACGGTTGTTCCACGTATATCTGTGGCACGCTAGTACTAGTATTGTCAGTTTGTATGCCGCTATCTGCGAGGCTACCGTTAATATGGGAGCTGCCAGCGCCGGTACTGAGGACTTTAGTCAGCTGGTCAGATAACGACTCCACTCGGTCTTGGAGAGTTGTTCTGTACACGTTATCACCGTAGGACGTCGCTGGATCTCTAGCGGTGAGATTTGAAGTGTCAAAGTCTATGCGTCTAGGGAACGTTCGGTCCATGGTTTTTAGTCTATCAGACAGTACTGATGGATATTCAGCGGGGGCCTGATTATGCCTTTGATTCCATGTAGATATAGTGGTATCAGTGAAGTCACTCAGACTAGATCTCCTAGAAGACTTAGGCGACAGTCTAGAGGACATCCTCATTAGATCTGGATTGTAGTCCATTATAGGTCGGCCGATGTACATGCGCCCTGGATAAAAGACGGCCGGTTTAAAGCGACGCAACTCGGTATTTTCAATTTTTGGTACATTTCAGTTTATTTCCCCCACGCTTCGGTTGTCAAACCATGCCGTTAGGCACACTTCGGTCGCACCAACACCGTTAGCACATCACACAACAAACGGCTTTTTGAAAAATTATAAAAACACGGATAAAAACGTTTATATATGGAACCAAAGAGTAAAATACTTTTTAAATTAACTATTTTTGGGAATATAGGGAAAATCCACAACTATTGCTATTGGAAAACAAACACCGGATAGGACAGAGGGATGGGGTTCAAAATAAACTGAAATGTATACTACTAATAATAAATAAGGTACCAAATTAATATATTTCGCATTCACTTATACTCTCAAAAAACTCACGGACAACAAGAGAGGTGTGGGCATGGGCATTGTCGTGTTGAAGAATCCAACGCCCCTCTCGCGCCAATTCTGTTAGGAATATTAGGGTTCAAATACTACTTGTTAAAAGTAATAAAATAAATAAAAAGGGTATAATTAAAATCCATATTAGTTATTCGAGCATTATTGTATTATAATCGAGTTTACATTACACTTTTTTTTTTAAATACCATTAACTTTTTTTTAAGCGTAGCATATTTCTTAAATATTTTCCGACGCTGTCTAATAAAGTAAAATGGCGGCAATATAAAGCAATGCATTGTAAACTCAATCGACAAGGCAACACAGATCATTATTATCTAACAACATACCTGCAGCTTCTATCTCGTCCTGAGGTCTCGCCGGTTTTGCGATGCTCTTCCTCTTAGACGGGGAGTGTTTCAGTGCTGTGAACGTGAAATATTGAATTTTGTACTTACACCACTTTGATGTTATGACTGTTTAAGTATTATTGTGATTTTGGTAGAAAAAAAAATTATAAAAGGTTTTTAAAAATTAAGAAATAAAAGATATTTCACATGTCAGAGCTAATTATGAAATTGGCGTCAAAATGTTCACCCATTCACCGATGACCGCACTTCACGTTCCTTAACTTCATCGATCAATGGTTTAACAAACTTTAAACACTTTTTTATTCCTTGAATTTTTTATTTTGTCTCTATTTTATCACAATAATACTTTGTATATATAATAAAAAATATAATCTGTGACATTGACAATTGGAAATCTCTATTTAAAAAGCTGTCAAATCAACCGGCTGTGACGTCATACTGTTGCAAATCAAATATAATCGTTAAGGCACTAGAATACGAAGGAAGCACAGTGAAACAGATTAAAAAGAAATTCAAAGATATAGAATTTGAAAACTCCACTCTCCAAAAGCAAATATTTTTTAACGTATACATTTTTTTTTTAATTTCGAATATCTTTAGTTGCTCGTAACGATAAATTTAAAAAAATACGCATAATCTGATCCAAACATGTATTATTTTGAAAAAATCAATCTTATGAAATACGCGATTAAAGCTAGTTTGCTCAGTTCCACTGCCATAATGTGTATACAACTAAAGACTGAAATGAAAGATGGAAGTCGGTAGGATTAAGATAGCTGCTTTCATAATATTTTAGAAACTTAAATTCATATATGATAATCAGTCCAATGTAACTGATGGCATAGTTTAAATGTATTGGCCAAGAACATCATAATAGCTGCCACAGATAATATGAAACAGATTCGCAATTATAAGAGTCAATTTTGAGAAGCGTTTCTGCTAATAAAAACAAGAATAATAATAACAACAACAATATGTCACAAACAAGATTATCAAAGCTGTGGACACGCAATGCAACAATTCTTGATGTTGTTATATTACTAACCATTCTTACATTAACAACCCTATGTTATTAATTTTTGTTACGTACTGTTGTTGTTGACTTGTCAACTCTTTTGTCATAGACTATTTTTTTGTTGCAATTTTTTTAAACCGACTGTTGCTGTATTGCTCTTTTGTTACGGTCTGTTGTTGTATTGCCAACTCTTGTTACATACTGTTATTAACATTTTGTCACAGACTGTTGTTGTATTGCCAATTCTTTACAGATTGCTGTTGTATTATCAACAATATATTAATTGTAAAACTGAACAAAATAACATTAATCCTATACAGTAATTATAAAGAATCAAATCACAATTGTAAACTTCATTTGCTTTTCGAGAGATCAATAATTATGGCATTAAAAAAAAGGTAGACCGTGCATCATTCTCTGAGAGATGTCCAGTCAGATAATACAGGGTACAGGGTATGACAAAGGGGATAATGTAACTACTGATGAAGAAATGTTGGGTACATATCCGGTACATATGATTCCACTGGCTTAATGGTTGATAGGTAACCGCTATATTCTATATAAATTGTTATAAACACATTTCTAATTACATTTTATTACAATAATAGTTTGTTCCATGATTTAATTTTTATCTTTCTTCGTTTGCCGTTCGTAATAACTACAATTGTTGTTTTAATGTAAGATATTTCTATAATGATTAACAAAAGAAAAAGATTAATTTATTAATTATATAATTAATTTATAAAATATATTAATAAATTTTAAAAATTACTGTTTTTCCTTTAGAAAACATATAAATAGGAGATTTTAGGTCTCCTTACATTTCTAGTACATTTTCTATAAAAAAAAAAAAAAACCTATAGATGATATCCTTTTGTGTTTATAACAATTTTATAGTAAAAGTAGAGAGAAGAGGGCGGGGAAGGGGGGCATTACTCAATGATAAAAGACAAACATCATGCTTCGGATAACATCCCACAATAACAGGGACTCACTTAGACCTCCACAGACGCGCGCCAGAATCCGATTACGGACAATTGTTTGAAAAAAAAAATGGAAAACACAGATATTATTTTGCGGTTGGCAACACTGTATCAATGGGAACGGGGGAGCGTGCATGACTCACTCACATTAATCAAGTCATGCGAAATTCCAACTTGTTAAAAAGAAAAAAAAAACTGCATCCAATTTTAAATTTAGAACGAAAAAAAAATATACTAGATAAAATTAAGTGTACATGCCTAATAAAATTTCAACTGCGTTAAATAAAAAAAAAAAAAATTAATTGTTATTAAAAAAAAAAAAACAAATTACATCAGCATAATTTAAACGCCTACGGAAGGGTTTGGGTGTTGGTGTGTTAAAACATTAGTTATCTATTATTACAAAAACTACTAAATACAAAATATCTTATCTATGATGCAACAATAAAAATTTAAGTATATATATATAAAACTACATTTTGTGATGTACGTACATATTGCCTTAAATAAAAAATAGAAATAAAAAAAAAAAACAGATAATCCATTTAATCTAACTTCTTGGCAGAATAAACATTCTTGGTACGTCTTTTGATTTAATTTAGTAATTTAAAAAATAAAAATTGCAAATATTTCTCATAATACAGTAATACTCCACACTAATTGTTCAAAAGAACAAAAAAAAAAAAAAACTATACAATATAAAACATGTAAAACCTACAGGCACACTGTGCAATTATTTCTAAGTGACATACAATTTCACGGCAGTATTTTCATTCGTTGAACCAAATGTATTTTAATTCTCCACTTTGGAGATTGTCGACTTCTTTATATTTCCTTATAACCTAAGATCCAGCTGCTGATTTTGCTACATTAACCTATCTATTTCATATTTGACGCGGCAATCTTAAGTTTAGGTTGACAGAAAAAAGGCAATCCGGGGGCATTACGTTATATTTTCGCTCAACTTTTATCTAAACAAAGATTATATTTCTTAAAAACTAATATATAAATAATTTTTGATGCTCCCAGGAAAAAACAACGCCCCCGGCCTTAAAAACATCAACTCGTTCAAACCAATACATAACCTAGGTAAATTAGCATAGATTACCTAAATAATAACGTGAATTCTCATTTTTTATAAAACACACATGAAGATGAATATTTTAAAATACTGCCGGGAAAAAAAAAACAATAACCCCGGCCCTAAAAACACCAACACCCGCCCCGCTACACACGTGACAACACATACGCTATGTGCATCGAACGGTACCTATGTAGCTGGTCACCAGAGTTCTGAACTTGCGGTGGTTGCCTTTGATCTCGGGGAGGTCCACTAATTAACAATACGGCCATGTTATTTTTTGTGCAACACTCGCGCTTTTTTCTTTCTCGGACACGTAACTAAACCGAGGAATCGGGCTATACAGCTTTAATAATATAACACTAATGAATGTAAGCGAACTATATAAATTAATTGGTATGTTTTAATGTTTATTCATGTAAGATAAGTCTTAAAATATTTTTATTATGTTTTTAATCCTAATTCTTTTTTACTTAAAATATATATATAAAAAAAAATAGCGAGTGTTGCTTCTCCTACATTAATAGGCGTGGTGTCTATTCAATTTAAGACAATTTAATAAATGACAATGTCTAGAACAAATTTTACGGTTAATTATTTTTTATTTGTAATATATTATATAACATTTTTAAACGACTTTCAAAAAAGGAATCCCTTATCAATTCTCACGTATTTTTATGTATCTTACGAGATATCTCCGCTAAATCGGATTTTGATAACTATTACATTGATAGAGCAAAATTATGACGATTAAAATTTTTTTTTATTAAAAAGCAAAATATCTGCTTGTTCTGAGACACAAATAACTTTTGGATGAGATTCGGTGTTGTAAAATCTAATATTTTAAATCAAACATGTCTAAGAAACTTATCTTAGTACATTATTGCATTTTCTTAATTTTATTACAATGAAAAAAATAACGAATATTAATTTTATCACAATTGAATGTGCTTTTTTTGTTGAGTAAAATTTTTAATAACTATAATCACTTGTTAATTGAACAAACACCACTAAACATTACAACATAAAATTATATAGCATTATTACGTTATTTCCGAGACTCTAGAATTATTCAAAATAAAAAAAAAAACAAACAAAGCGGTCTTATTTCGTTTTAGCGCCATCTAGTGTCTCGAATAATTAAATATGTATTTTACCAAAGTACAGCGTCTCCTAATGTGGATTAGAGAATGAATTAGACACATTAAAGTTAGGTATTACACATAAATAGCTTTTGACGGAATATCAATCTTATTGCTACACAGAGAGGGTATAGTTTCGCACTACTTTGGTTTTAGCATGACAATGAGCAATTCTAACAACTGAAATGTCAAGACTGATAAGTAGAATTGGTTCGACTTGATGTACTAATGAGAAAAAAAAACAGCAACTTATAACCAAATGAAGGTAGATCAATATATAGACTAAAGTAAGATAAAGTATTGTCAGGATTAAAATATTTTAAAGTCCTAATAAAAGGGTCTTTGCAGAATCCTTAGAATATCTACCAGCGAAACTGAACCTTTTCACCAAAGGAACACGGTTCGAATAATAACAATGTTCAGCGTCGATAATTCAATTATAAAGCTAGTATGGGATTTTCAAAATTTGTGTCCTTATTGAAAATTTGATTATTAAATTTCCATACCGCTAACGGTCTCAATTTTATCTTATATGATGACAGGAGACCTTATAGACACCCTTAAACTACTTTAAAGAACTACGTGTTACCTCGTGGAAGTCAATATCACTGGTTATTTGTTTAGAATTATTTTGTTTAATTCAGCTACCATTAGTATGTGTGTGACTGCCAACACTCGAAGATATGACCGTCACTATTACTATCAGAAGTTCCACACAACCTTTCAATCCCTACTGGTCTAATCACACTATTTCTCAAATCAAATATTACCTGATAAATGACAAACAATAAACAGCTATCCCTTTTTAACGTGTGGAAAATCTTCAGCAAGACCGTCCCATCTGCCGGAGGGAGGGCAGCTGGGGTGTGTGGGATTCGTACCCACTAAAAACCACACGACGTACCTCGAGGCGCTTATGTTGGATCCCGGGTTTCCATTTGTACGACGACTATCGAGGATCCAACGCGACGGCCCGCCCTGTGTATGTGTGGTGTGGTGGTGTAGGGCAGGCCTCCTCTCTTAGTTAAGGTGGGAATGTAAACAGCTATCTCTAACGAATTTAATGTTAATATTTTAACACAAATTATTTTCAATATTTTAATCAATCCTTCAATTCCATTTGGTTATAAGTTTTGAAAAAAAAAAAATAACAGTCAACAAAACTATAATTGATTTTAAGAAATAATATCTTTTCTCATCAGTATACCTACAAAATATTTCCAAAAGAACGTGGCAATATTCAAATATTAATTAATGGTTATAAAGCACTAAACCACTAATAACTTTGCCTGATTATCATTTATAATTAAAAAGAAATAAAAATCGAATAGTTAAATAATTAATACACGTTCGACTAATATTCTTAAGTCTAACAATACAAACCAGTTAGGTTACACCATAATTTTATTAGATAATCGTTTTAAGGACAATTTCTAATACAAATATGGTGACAGCTTTAGTGTCACGATTGTGACAAAAAAAAATCATTAATTTGTTGACCAGTCAAAGTTATGAGTGAAAATAGCTTAGAAATAATATACACAGCTTAGTACCACCATCTGCAAATACATACTTACACGAAGGTATTTTCTTGAAAACAGTTTTTGCCATGAAATCTAGAAACCTTTGCGCGTAAAAACTTGGTCTGTGAACTGAAACTGTGTCCTGAAAAAAAAAAAGCAATACATTACAATACAATCTATTATTTATAACACAACAAATATTTTAAGCCAAAATTTATGAGTATATTACACAAGTAGATTATGCAAAAAGGTAGTTCTAATCGTAATACAATATGTAATAAAGATATCAATGTAAAAAGAATTATCAAAATCAGTTTAAAAATCTCTATATCACTCTTGTTTCTGCCGTAAAGCAGCTGTTCTCACATGGTTGTGGTTCGGTGTGAAGAGTGTAATACGGCAGTAAATTACAGAGTACAGAGATGTAAAACACTAGTGCTCAGGGATGGCAATGCACAACTGACTATTGATATCTATAGCCAACAATTACCACTTTCCATCAGGCAAACCGCCAGCTCGTTTGGCTTTCCAAGATGCATAAAAAAATTAAAGCTGTAAAAATTTACTAAAAAATATTGTTTGTCACAATCGCAAACATGACGTATGACTACAACGTCATATTTCGGCAAGTCACAGACATTGCTTTATGGATTATTCTATGACAATGACTTCATTCTTCAAAGCCAGTGATTTTATTCAATCCAACATGTATCCAACAAAAAAAAAAATAACTTAGGAAAGTGACTCAAATGTACTTTTTAAGAATAAGATGATTCTTTAAACCTTCATTTGTTGAACAATATATTCGACTATATAAAAGTAATGTCACAATCGTGACAAAATTCTAAGTGTGACAAAGTTACAAGTGTGACAAAAGTTAAAAATGTGACAATACTAACCCCGTCGTGTATCATACTTTTCCAGGTATGCTCGAGTTTCTTCCGCAGCCGGTAAGACTGAAGAATGTCAATGATACCTAAGAATAGAAGTAGTCGCTCCCCGCGCGCGTTCCTAGCCGGAATACCGCCGGGGCTATTAAAAAAAGTATATAAATATAGATAACTAACTACATACAGACTTAATCGTTAAGTTTTTCACATTTTCACTAGATTTCAAACAGGTACACCTTTTCCACTATGTTTTATATTATGCATTGCATAGCATTTCATTATATAATTAATTAAAATATAATACTCCGACCTTTCTAGGACCTGTTACAATCCTCTACAAAACGGAACCAACATCTTTAAATTATTGGAAAGTGAATAAATGCTGTTGGCTTAAAACCATTCTTTATAACAGTTTAAAATGGAAAAATATTTTACTATAGCCATTAATATTGAAATAAAAAAAAAAACCAAAATACTTACGGCACATCTTCCTCCTCATCAATGGGCTCGCTCTCCGCTTGGATGCTCTCCATTGCTGTAGAGTGCGCAACTAGTCGCTGACGGTTTATAGACCTGGGCACAATGATTTGATTTTAAAATTTATGTATTTGATAGTTTATTACAAAGGAATAATTAAAACTTTATTACCACATATACGTTGACTGATATATATTTGTCATGCTACTTAGCGCGCGTGATACACCTAAACATTTGTATGTAATAACATATACATTACAATATCTAAACCGGGGCCTGATAAATAGAAAATATTGTCGCTGGTTATAATTCTTACATTGGGTAATGTATTTATATACGTATTTTATAAAGAAATAAATTATTTTAACAATAATATGGCTTATAATAAAAACTCAAAAGCTAGTGATGATCACGGTATAAAATTATTTTATATGGAGTCATAAACACTTAATAAGTAGATGAATATGTAATTCAGTTACAGACTTTTGTATTATATTAATGATTAGAAGTAATAACACATACCTACATGCATGCAGTCACACATCCGTAAAATCGCACACTCTTTACTTTTGTATTCCTACATAAAGATTCATGCAACTATAGAAATACACAAGTAGAAATACGTTAGTAAGATGATAATAACAGGATATACATATAACGAGGCAGTTTGTCGTTTGGTTTAGGAGTTTACACGTTTTTTACTTGAATCTTATTTTCATTTGCCTTACACTGTACTTTAATTTTATTTCTTAATTCAATTAAAATGCTTTATTTAAAAATGTAAAACTACATACTGTTGATTTAAGCTGCATTTCGAACCTTTTTAGTAGTTGTACAAGGGTCAAATGTAAAGAAATCATTGTTTTGTTCATGGACTGTCGTGTCAGCACAGTGCATTGCAAATTGAACATTAAGATACAATATAACTAACACGTTAACAGAGGTTAGAATTCAGTAACACCACACAAGACAGTGTTAGATTTACAAACATAGAAACAGTATAAATATCGTACTGTGTCCGTTTTACTTGCGTCCCGAAATCCTCCTTGACTTGCTCTGATCTGAAATGCGCATATAAATTACCGCCACCAAAAATAACCGAATATTAACAAAATAATAAAAATATACATATTAAAAGATACATTTTTCCCCATAATTCCAAAAAGAAATATTGCCAATTACCACATTTTTCCATAACCTGCGCATTATAACTTTAATTAAATATTAAATAAAATATAATAAGAAAACAATGTGCATAATAAATATTGCAAAAAGCCACACAATGATGGGTATATACACATGAAATTGCAATCAACTTTTATCAGTATGAATACATTATTTATAAATGTAGATTTGAGACGAAATAAGTGACCAATAACAAAATATATACATAATTATCAATATATTGTATAATATAAATACAAAATATAAAAATGAGATTTATGACGAAAGTCATAACTATAACATTGTGTCACAACTTATACATATATCAATTTTTATTAGTTACAATGTCACAGTTGTAACATTCTGTAATTACAGTAATAATATAAACATAAATAAATAATGTAAACCCCACTGCAATTGATTTACCTATTTGTTACACATTTTAAGTTTAGCTTGCTATAATGTTACAGTGACATACTCTTACATATTATCACCGTAGTGACATAGTCACAGTAATGCCAATTGTAACAATAGTGATATTGACGTATTGTTACATAATATCAACAACAACGCCTTACCTGGTTCGGTTGAGCCCGCTACGTTTCGGTTCTCCCTCCGTTTCATCGTCGCTCTGACCAGAATCTGTTCTTTTCCTCGATTCCGTCTTCTCTCGCTGAGCCTCGTCTAGATTATGGATGCCGACTAGTAATGAATAATCCATAATCTGTGGAACAACAATTTTTTTTTTACCTCTTAATGTATGTTACGTTGTTTAAGTTAAATATTGCATGCTGACTAGTTCCAACAAATCAATTTTATTGAATCTTTTCATACATTTTTAATTTTGGTGACAATACAATATACTCAATATTGTAATTTTTTTTTAAAATGGCCATCATTACAAGATGCTGGACGGTATATATTTTATTAAAACAGGAAACAAATGAACGAGTTTGAAGATTAGACAACGATAAATGTCACATTTTAAAATGGCCGCCGCCAAGATGGCGGATTACATTAAAAATATTGTTTTAACAAAATTTCTTAAAAAACTTTTTACAATGAAGCTGTCAGCCTAGCTCAATGATAATTATCGCTTATAGACATGAATACTATTATGAACGCTATAGAATGCACTATATTACCCATGGTGTTCCTCATATATTACCATTTCTGAGACGTTATGCCCTCATACCCTTTTTTTTTAACGTGAGGAAATCTTCCAAAGACCTTCCCAACTGCCGGAGGGAAGGCAGAGGGGTGTGTGGGATTTTTACCCACTAAAACCTCACGACGTACCTCAAGGCGCATATGTCGGGTCCCCGGGCTCCCGAGTTGAAGACAACCGGAGCCCGACGCGACGGCCCGCCCTGTAGATGTTGTAGGGCAGGCCACCTCTCGTGATTAGGATGGGGAATGCCATGCCCTCATACCCTACATAATTTCACTGTCATTTCTATCCCATCCCACAAACCAAATCATGCAAACGCAACTGTTTCACAGCATAAACATCATCATGATTAACCGTTCATTGGTGAACACAGCCATATAGTAGTTGCCACGCTTGGCAGGCAGGTTCACAACCATAGTTAGGCTTTGGTGAGGTTTTAAGAGGAACATTGTTGCCTATCTGATCTGATCTGATCATTGTTCCTTTAGTCACCTCATACGATACCCATGGAAAAGGAAGCGGTGGCCCATTCTATGCCGGGACCACATGACGTAAACCCCAAACATGAGCGGTACTACTAAACGCATGCGACTCCTGTACAAAGTCTCCATCTGGAGTCGCTCACCTTAAAACTCTCCAAGACCCTGCAGTCTCGCTGCATGGTCTTCGTTAGGGCAGTGTAGGTGTCCGCTTCGAGGAATATACCCTCGGGGTGGTGGTCCATAAAGTCCAAATCTTTATATGTGGGTGACGACTTCTGTCTTTCTGATTTGTTTGCCTGTAACAGAATAACACGATTAATAGAAAGAAAGAAAAAAAAAAAAAGAATGAACTTTTTTAATCAAGCAAACTTAGATTTAAGCATTTTTGAAGTAATTTTTAGTCAATTTTTCATTGCCACCCAATTAACCCAACCAGGTCGACCTCCTCGCGGTTCCCCCTGGAAACTATTATGGTTAATTCCTGATGAATTCATCATGATGGGCTAACTGGCCTGTTTTCATTCTCATCTATCACCCTTCACTGGTGCTCCGACAGGGTATCCCGTTAGCGCAGGCAGGGTTACCATACCATTTAAATCCATCAAAAACAAAAAAATGTTCCAGACGTCCATTAGCTGTCGTTAGACGATCGTCTGTCATTAGATGGTCTGTATGCTTATTTGTCACCTTTATGTTATAAAAATAAATCCCATTGCTATCAATATACCGACTTCCAAGCAGTTCCCCCTGGAAACTCCCTACCAGAGGGAGACTTTGTACAAAAGTCGTTTGCTTGGGTACCTCTGTCCCATTCGTGTTTCAACCGTAAAGCAGTTGTGTTTGCATGGTTGTGTTTCGGTTTGATGGGTGGGATATGGCATGAATTTACAGGGTACAGAGGAATAACACCTGAGTCCTCAGGAATGGTAACGCATGGGGGGTATCATGGGCGAAACAGTACACTCTGTTATGTCCATGGTACTGCTCACGTCTATAGGCGACGGTTACCACTTTCCATCAGGTGGGCCGTCAGTTTGTTTGCCATTCTAAGTTGTATAAAAAAAGAACCGTCACTACCAACCTTCCTCTTATACGTGGAGCCCTTGAGGTCGTACTTCTGGTGGAGTTTCACTGAGGACGGCAGTATGTTGTTCATGGCGACTAGCCGTACATTCTTACTGTTGCATTGGTAACAATACAAGCCGAAGAATTTTGGCAGTAGAGTGCGTGGGTTCTGGAAACAAAAAGAACAAATTGCTGTTCATATCGATACATTTACACTAATATTATAAAGAGGAAAGATTTGTATTTTTTACACTAATATTATAAAGTGTGTATGCATGTGTTTGTAATGAATAAATTCAAAAACTACTTTGCCGATTTAAAAAATTCTTTCACCATTAGAAAGCTACATTCACCCTGAGTAACATAGGCTAACATTTATTGCTAGAAAAGATAAGGGATCCTTACTAAAACTTTAGTAACGTAACTCAAGGTGTAAAAAAAATGTTAAAAAATATCTTCCGTTGCGTGCTCTGCGGAAACTATTGGTGATAGAACAAAAGTATGTTCTACAATATTGAAGAAAATATCAATAACTATAAAAACTTCTGGATACTATATGCCCAACTATTATCGTTATGTCACAATAACCAGTTTTTAAAATGTTGTAAAAATGTCCACACGTACGAAGCAGGGACGGGCCGCTAGTCAATACATATAATAAAATCGTAACTGATCGCCGTCTGTACATGGAAGATATATCAGAAAAAACTATTATAGGAGGCTTTATAAACGCAACAGAACCCAAAACAATGATTTTTAGAATTTTTGTCTGTACGTTTGTGCAGGCTAATCTCAGAAACTACTTAGGCGATTTGAATACGGTTTTCACAAATGAGTTGCGGTTTGTTCCACTTAACAAATTTCAATCGGTTCATAAATAAAAAAAAATAAAAAAAACTATATTAAAGGATCACGTATAAAATGCTATAAAATAACCGATCAGTTGAATTGGCTGAAACTTTATGAAGGTATTAGGTACGTAATTATCATTTAAATATATAATACAATATAAGACCAGATTCATGGAAGGTTCCAATGGGAATGATATACTAGGCCGAACATCTAAATTCACAAATTTACCTCTTTGCGATCCTTTTAAAAAAGACTCAACACAAAGAAACCTATAAAAAGAGCTGATGACCTTGAAACGCCTGAACAGCTCTACATAAATTGTAGCTAAGAATCATCTCGATCACGTAAAACATAAAAACCCGCATCATAATCGGTCCATTAATTACAAAGAAGCGTTAAAATTATAACTCCCTCTTCCTGCATCGAGGGTTAATTAGAATAATTAAATATTTTAATATTTTTTTAGGTTTCTTACTAATTATGTTAAGATTTAAATATATTTAGTAAATAATTAAAAATTGTGTTCCACAAAAAGAAAACAGACTTTAATTTTGCGATAAAACCAGTTATATTGATTTAAAAACTAAGCTACTGAACTGATATTGGTAAAATTTCTATAAAATCTCGAAAGTATATATGTATTTACATATATACTTTTAGATAAAACCAAAATTTTCAAAATCGCTATAAAACTGGACAAGTTATGAGGTAACAAACATAACAAAAAAAAATACAACCGAATCGAAAACTTTCTTTTTTAAATCGGCCGTAAATTAAATTACTGCTAACCTAAATGTACTCAAACAATTAAAACAATGCATGTATATGTGTATGTGCCAATTTTACATAATATAACATTGCACAGTTGAGCAAATGAGGCTGAACTGTTTGTTTAAACAAAATTTGAGATTTCTATTTACGTAGACCATTCTAATGTATAAATTATATTGCACCTTATTAAATATTTACTTTCTCATACATATGGATATTATTATTATTGAGACTGGCTTTTTCAGGCTGAAAAACCTGTAACACTGCGACCTTTCCATGATCTTTCGTGCTCACTCTTTTTAAAGCAGACATGGATAACTAAATGAGTCTTGGGTCAACATGATAAAACTCAGGCGCACCTAACTGCGCTGGTGCATTGAGTTAACTCAAAACTGCGCCGAAATTTTGTTATACGCCAAAAACTGGATCACAAAAAAAAAACTTTATATTTTACTGCATTTATATACCGTCTATAGTCTATACCTGGTGATCCCGGCATAGAATGGGCCACCCCTTCCTTTCGCGTGGGTGTCAAAAGAGGCTGTTAAGGACAATGACGGGAGAATGGGCAATTAATAATAATTAATAAAATTACGGATTCTCGATAAAATATACTTTCACTTGACAATACAACAATTTGACAGATATGTTTTTTTTTTTTAAGAAAAGTAAAAATGACAAACGAATTTGATCTATATAACTATAAAAAAGTTTTTTTTTATGCTACTTACAGTAGCAAATAAGCTGACGGCCCACCTGATGGAAAGTGGTAACCGCCGCCTATAGACATGAGCAGTACCATGGACATAACAGAGTATACTGTTTGGCCCATGATACTCCCTATGCGTTGCCATTCCTCAGGACTCAGGTGTTAGTTCTCTGTACCCTGTAAATTCACGCCATATCCCCACCCTTCAAACCGAAACATAGCCATGCAAACACAACTGCTTCACGGTTGAAACACGAATGGGACAGAGGTGCGCAAGCAAACGACTTTTGTACAAAGTCTCCCTTTGGTAAAGATTTTATATAAACAATTTAGCTTTAATAAATTCCTAACAGACGCGAATAAGGGAGGGCAAGGGATGGACAGTAGCGTCTCTCTTAAAACATTAGTAAAGTCTAACTGCAGTTGCCAAGCGTGGCAAATATTGAAAGTCTATGATCAGCAGGTGACAGTTAACGTTTAACCGTTACTATGTTGGTATAATTATAACGATAATGATAGGAAAGTCACTGAAAAGATACACTAATAGTTTATTAAATGAGTTTTGAACAGGTTTCGAATTGAGTTCCATCAAAAAAAAATATTTGTGGCAAAACCCGGTTATTTTAATTTAAAAACTAAACTACTGAAGTATTTAGTATGTACTATTTAATTATATAATCTAATATATAAAATTCTCGTGTCGCGGTGTATGTTACTAAACTCCTCCGAAACGGCTTTACCGATTTTTATGAAATTTCGTGTGCATATTGGGTAGGTCTTGGAATCGGCCAACATCTATTTTTATACCCCTCAATGATAAGGGTGGACTGTCCCCAAAAAATTTTTTTATTTTTTTGACAAATTTTTCTATTTTTTATTTAAATTATTATATTTTATTATGATTTAGCATTTAAAAATACATACAAATCCAAATTTTCTGTGTTTCAATTCCAAACTGTGTTTGCATGGCTGTTCAGTTTGAAGGGTGCGACATGGCAATGAATTTACAGGGCACAGAGAAACAACGCTCAAGTCCTCAGGAATAGCAACGCATGGGGAGTATCATGGGTTAACAGTATACTCTGTTATGTCCATGGTACTGTTCATGTCTATAGGCGACGGTTACCACTTTACATCAGGTGGGCCGAGTTTGATTTGCGTTTTTAAATTACATATAAACAAAAAAAAACTAAAAACGCAGAGGTTGTATGCATCACGACATGTAACTGGAGAGGGGTAGCCAGCAAGCGAACGAATTCTTAGGCAGACGCTCGACCAACTAATAAAATCATAGGGTACATGCACTTTTAAATATACCGTTCTTGTTATTTATTTTTTTCAAACATGCTTGGAAATTTGAGCATTATTTTGACAACCTTCTTCGAGATAAATCGAACTTGCGGTACTGGTCGACAGCGGCCGGCAGCGGCCGGCAATAGTTGTATGAAAATCCATATCTGTCGTGTTTAGCGGCCAAATAAATTACTATGTAAAATCATATTTGTCGTGTAATTTAAAAATGGAACGATCTTCTACTCCGCAACATGGCGATCAAAGAGGTAACTTATTAAAGGTTTAATTTAAATTTCGAACTGGCTTGCACATAGAAAGCTGTTTAGTGAAAAAAAATAACACTTTGGCGCGTAAAAAACTATTGTTATTAGTTGTTCGTCGACTTCGTCATTGGTTTTAAATACTTTTGTATTTGACAAAATGAGTTCAAGTGAAGACAATGAGTGTAATGAAATTATTTTAACGCCACCTGAAATTCAAGAGGCAGCAAGAGCCGTAGTAGAAAACTTGTTGCCGCCAAAATCTAAAGAAAAATATTTGAAAATCTATGAAAATTTTGTTCAATGGAAGAATGAAAGAAAATCGAAATCCTTATCCGAAAATGTTTTTCTGACTTATTTTGGCGAACTCGCCAAGAAAGTGAAGCCTACAACGCTTTGGGTCATCTATTCAATGCTAAAATGCATAATTTTAATGAATTTGAATAATTTCCGCGCATTATTTGAGAAAAGTATTATACAAGCCTTGGCCGCAACTAGGCATTGATGGACTCACGTATGTGTGCCTCGGGTTCCCCTCGGCCCACATTCACACGTTCGTCCATCAATGCCTCTCTTGCCGGCCGCTGCAGTAATGTACTATTAAAGGCATTGCAATAAGAAAATAAAGTATTTACCTGAAGAAATAAAAATCGGTCAAGTGTGAGTGAAACTCACACGACTTTTTAGACTCATTTTCGTGATTATGTTCATACCGAAATCGACTAAGTAAATGCAGCTTAATATTTTATTCGTCATTAAAATTTTACTATAAAAGTCCAAAGGAAACATATTTTAATATTTTAAATACACAATCGGGAGTTAACCAGATGTAAGAGCCTTATAGGTAAATCGTACCTATATACCTGCTTCTTTATTACCGACGTTTAAAATATGTGTAAACAAAGCGAAAGTTTAATTAAACGATTTTAACGATATTTTAATATAAAAAATTGCATGTATTATGTAATTTTAATATCAAATTTATATTTCGCTCGGCCCCGAAATATCGGAAAACATTTCCTTCAGTTTTTTTTTTATAAAATATATTTTAAAATTAAAATTAATTTTAAATAAAAACCGGTCAAGTGCGAGTTGAACTCACACGACGGGGATTCTGTACGTTAACATATAAATATGAGATAAAATTAATTTTATTTCTAATACAAAATAGACACCTAATCAAAATATTAGATTTAGTTTTTTTTAACTAAGTTTATTTTAGGAGGATTTTTGATGATTACTTAAAAACGATTGTAGTTGATTCTAGTGGGAACATTATTTTGT